GGTGTGATCTTGGCTCACTGCAAGCTCTGCCTCCCAGGTTCACGCCATTCTCCTGCCTCAGCCTCCCGAGTAGCTGGGACAACAGGCGCCTGCCACCACACCCAGCTTTTTTGTATTTTTAGTACAGACAGGGTTTGACCGTGTTAGCCAGGATGGTCTCGATCTCTTGACCTTGTGATCCGCCTGCCTCGGCCTCCCAAAGTAGTAGGATTACAGGCGTGAGCCACCGCGCCCGGCCTAGGCTGCCCACAATTTGTCCAGCGTGGAGGGAGGAGCAGGCCTTAGCCATGACTTTTTTTTTTTTTTTTTTTTTTGAGGAGTTTCGCTCTTGTTGCCCAGGCTGGAGTACAATGGGGTGATCTCGGCTCACTGCAGCCTACGCCTCCTGGGTTCAAGTGATTCTTCTGCCTCACGCTTCCGAGTAGCTGTGATTACAGGTACCCGCCACCACGGCCAGCTACTTTTTGTATTTTTAGTAGAGACGGGGCTTCGCCACGTTGGCCTCGAACTCCTGACCTCAGGTGATCCGCCCGCCTCTGCTTCCCACAGTGGTGGGATTACAGGCATGAGCCACCGCGCCCGGCCGGCTGAGCCGTACCTTTAGTGGTTTCCACTTCTTCCAGTAACGCCTGGGAGATATAGTGGATGGTCCTCAGGTATTCTGTGTATGCCTCCTGTGTCCAGGAAAGAGAACAGTGGGGTCAGGCCTGTGGAGGGAAGTGACTCCATCATTCCTTCCGGGTCCCCTTGTGGGATAAGCAAGGAACACCCACCACCTGCTTATCTCTGAGATACACCAGAGACATTGAGCCTGCAGTGGTTGGCTGCAGCCGGAACACGGTTTTCTGCCTGGGGCACAGGCAGCATCACTGCTCTGCAGACTTGGAAAACACATCAGAACCTGAGAGAGAGAGAGAGCCAGGGACGAGCTGGACCTCACTTTCTCCTCTCACTGCCTTTCTCTCCAGCACAGGAACTGATGTTCTCATTCAGTGGGCCTGGGGAAGTGACCTCAGCAGTTTGCTGTCATTTTTCACTCTATGCGGTGTTTCCTTCTTGTGCAACTCAAGGGTGATTCACTCAGTGGCTTAAAAAAATACTTCCTGAGAGGATAGAGGGAGTGATACTGGAAGTTTTCAAATCACTTCCCGGCTTAAGTTCTGAGAAATCCCTTTCCCAGAACCCCTGAGTTACGTATTCCCAGTGTACACAGGAACCTAGAACATGTGACTGTTACGTTTCAAGGCGTGTGACCCCTCTGACAAGGTGCAGGTCATCGGAACCACAGTATGGTGGTTTGTTTTGTTGAGACAGAGTCTCACTCTGTCGCCCAGATTGGAGGACAGTGGCAGGATCTCGAGTCACTGCAACGTCCGCCTCCCGGATTCAAGTGATTCTCCTACTCAGCGTCCCAAGTAGCTAGGATTACAGGTGTGCACCGCCACGCCTGGCTAATTTTTGTATTTTCAGTAGAGACGGGGTTTCACCGCGTTGGCCAGGCTGGTCTCGAACGCCTGACCTCAGGTGATCTGCCGCCTAGGCCTCCTAAAGTGTTAGGATTACAGGCGTGAGCGACCGCGCCCAGCAATATGGTGTGTTTGTTTCATCCCCAGCTGTTAAGTTACCTATCTTTAAATCTACGCCTCAGAGAAAAAGACAAAATACAATCCAGGCAGGATTTCTGACTTGTGGAGGCACCTGCTGCCCTAAAAACCAACTTGGGGAAAGCGGCAGATTCAGGAACGAGGCCTCTCCTAGGCACAGGCAGGCTCCTTCCCTCCGTGGACAGCCGGGCGTGGCTGAGCCGGCTTCTCTACCTGGTCGCCAACCTTAGATTCGGCCCCATCTCAGAAACGGGCCACACCCCTCCGGCCTGCTTTTCCTTCCTAAGGCGACTGCAAAGTCTCACCAACGAGCGGGCATGTGGCCTTCTCTGGATTCCGTCCCCTGTGGCAACCGGATTAAATCTACCATCTCTGCCCAGAAAAGTGCACGAACGCATGGACCTGCTCGTCACACGGGTTTTGGAAGGTGGCCTGGGGACTCTCCCGCTGCATCTCCTCAACAGCTGGAGCCCAGGCTCTCATGCGCCGGCTCAGCGAGCGGACTGCAAAGCCGAGGCCGGCAGGATCTGAGCTGTCCAAGGTCACTGCACGCCCGGCTGCGCCCCGCCCCCGTCCTCGCCCGGG